ATTTCTTCCTTGACCAAGTCATCATTGAGTAGAGAGTTGTTTAGTTTCCATGTGAATGTGGGCTTTCCATTGTCTTTGTCATTTTTGAAGACCAGCCTTAGACCACGGTGATCTGATAGGATGCAGGGGATTATTTCAATTATTTGATATCTGCTGAGGCCTGTCTTGTGCCCAATTATATGGTCTATTTTGGAGAAAGTACCATGAGGTGCTGAGAAAAAGGTATATTCTTTTGCTTCAGGGTGAAATGTTCTATAGATATCTGTTAAGTCCATTTGGTTCATAACTTCTGTTAGTTTCACTGTATCTCTATTTAGTTTCTGTTTCCATGATCTATCCATTGCTGAGAGTGGGGTGTTGAAGTCTCCCACTATTATTGTGTGAGGTACAATGTGTGTTTTGAGCTTTAGTAAGCTTTCTTTTATGAAAGTGGGTGCTCTTGTATTTGGTGCATAGATATTCAGAATTGAGAGTTCATGTTGGTTGACTTTTCCTTTGACAAGTATGAAATGTCCTTCCTTATCCTTTTTGATAGTTTTAAGTTGAAAGTCGATTTTATTTGATATTAGAATGGCTACTCCCGCTTGTTTCTTAGGGCCATTTGCTTGAAAAATTGTTTTCCAACCTTTTACTCTAAGGTAGTGTCTGTCTTTGTCACTGAGGTGGGTTTCCTGTAAGCAGCAAAAATCTGAGGCCTGTTTGTGTATCCAGTCCGTTAGCCTATGCCTTTTTATTGGGGAATTGAGTCCATTGATGTTAAGAGATATTAAGGAGAGGGTGTTGTTGCTTCCTGTCATTTTTGCTAATAGTGGAGACATCATTTGTGTGGTTATCTTCTTTTGGGTTTGATGGAAAAGGATTATTTTCTTGCTCTTTCTAGGGTATGATTGCCTTCCTTGTATTGGAGCTTTCCTGCTATTATCCTTTGTAGTGCTGGATTTGTGGGAAGATACTGTGTGAATTCGGTTTGTCATGGAATATCTTGGTTTCTACGTCTATGGTAATTGAGAGTTTTGCTGGGTAAAGTAGCCTAGACTGGCAATTATGTTCTCTTAGGGTCTGTATATTTGTCCAGGATCTTCTGGCTTTTATAGTATCTGGTGAAAAGTCAGGTGTAATTCTGATAGGTTTGCCTTTATGTGTTACTTGGCCTTTTTCCCTTACTGCTTTTAAAATTCTTTCTTTGTTTTGTGCATTTTGTGCCTTGATTATTATGTAACAGGAGGTATTTCTTTTTTGATCTAGTCTGTTTGGCGTTCTGTAGGCTTCTTGTGTGATTATGGGCATCTCATTCCTTAGGTTAGGGAAGTTTTCCTCAATAATTTTGTTGAAGATATTTACTGGCCCTTTAAGTTGGGAATGTTCACTCTCATCTATACCTATTATCCTTAGGTTTGGTCTTCTCATTGCGTCCTGGACTTCCTGGATGTTTTGTGTTAAGAACTTTTTACATTTTGTGTTTTCTTTGACAGTTGTGTCAATATTTTCTAAGGTACCTTCTGCACCTGAGATTCTTTCTTCTATCTCTTATATTCTGTTGGTGATGCTTGTGTCTATGACTCCTGATTTCTTTCTTAGGTTTTCTATCTCCACGGTAGCCTCCCTTTGTGATTTCTTTATTGTTTCTACTTCCATTTTTATGTCCTGGATGGTTTTGTTCAATTCCTTCATCTATTTGTTTGTGTTTTCTTGTAATTCTTTAAAGGATTTTTGTGTTTCTTTAAGGACTTCATCCTGTTTACCTGTGTTCTCCTCAAGTTTTTTGATAGTGTTATTTATTTCCTTCTTAAAGTCCTCTATCATCATCATTAGAAGTGATTTTAGATCTGGTTCTTGCTTTCCTGGTGATATGGGGAGTTCAGGACTTTCTAATGTGGGAGAACTAGGTTCTGATGATGGCAAGTACCTTGGGTTGCTGGTGCTTGTGTTCTTGTGCTTGCCTTTTGCCATCTGGATCACCTTTGTGCTATCTGTGCTGTCTCAGACTTGGACCTGTCTTTCCTATTATCTAGGTTGTGTTAGAACTGTTTGGGATGGGTTTTGCTGCTGGGGTTAGAGCTGAGGCCCAAGATCTGCTCTGTGCTCAGGTGGAAACCGGAAGGGGTCCGGGCTCCGGGTCAGGAGTGGATTCCTGGGTCCCAGTGGATCCTGGTTTCTCCATGTTTCGGGGAAGTATTCCTGCTTCCTAGCCTAAGATACTGCTTGGGTTAGAGCTCCTGGGAGTACCGCTTCCTCTGGGTTCTGAGAGATTGAGTGCAGAGCTGACTCCCAGGATCTGCTAGGGCCCAGACTGGAAGGAACCTGTGCTCTGGGCCAGGAGTGAATTCCTGGGTCCCAGTGGGTCCCAGTTGCTCCCTGTTTGGGAGCAAGTATTGCCACCTCCTAGCCTAAGATACTACTTGGGTTAGAGCTCCTGAGATCCCCGCTTCTTCTGGTTTCTGTGAGATTGGGTGCAGAGCTGACTCCCAGGATCTGCTAAGTGCTTGGGCCGAGACTGGATGGAGCCCGAGCTCCGGGTCAGGAGTGAATTCCTGGGTCCCAGTGGGTCCCGGTTGCTCCCTGTTTGGGGCAAGTGCTGCTTTTTCCTTACCTGGGATGCTGCCTGCGTTCAAGCTCCTAGGAGTCCCTCTTTCTCTCGGGTTTCTGGGGTTGGGTACAGAGCTACCGCCTGTGACCTGCCGACAAGGATGGTTAAAGAGAGCATGAAAAAGGTCTGAGAAAAGGCAGAGAGAGAAAGAGAAAGATGAGAGCTGGTACAAGAATTGGATTTCAACCTCTCCATGGTTGTCAACCCTATTTCCTCCCATCTTGGGACCATTAATTGGGTTATTTTTGCTTATTTCTTTTGGTCCCTGGGCCTTAAATAGGCTGACTAACTTTGTGAAACAACAGATAAATAACTTGGTAGCAAAACCTATCCAGATACATTATCATAAGTTAGCTATGGAGGACCACGAGACTCAAGATGGGGTTGTTACTCTATCCAGGGTGTTCCCAAAACCCATCTCCACACAACCTAACAGAGGGGACTTCTGTCCCTAGACCAAGCAGAGAAGGGCCACCCAGAACCTCCTCTGACTGGTGATCGGAACTCTTGCTTAGGCTGCGAGGCTAAGCACTGCAAGGGAATATAAATAAAAGTTAAAAATATCTCTCTGGGTTCCCTGAGGGACAAGCCTGACTGCATAGGGGTTGATGTCAAAAGTATCCCCTCTCCAGAAAAAAGACATCAGGATGGGTATGGCCCTCATACCTCACTGGACAACGACAGGGGGACCGGAGCCATTACAAAGTCCCCATTCAATTACTGGAGGTCAGGCCTCTATCTCTGCCTTCACAAGATTAGAATCGTCACAGCTCTTCTATACTTAGAGAAGGGAGGAGATGTCAGGGGAAGCTCTGCTTATACACTGAAGCCCTAAAATCAGCCATAGGACTAAAATCAGCAATAGGCCTGTCATAAATGTATACTAACACCAAGTCTTGGATCTCTGTGGAAAAACATTAAAACAGAGGGCTATAAGCTAGTATAAACAGGCAGCTTTTGTGGAAATTTACCAGCCTGAGTAGTCATAGACCTTGTAAATAGGTAGCCTTGGTGGATAATACCAACTTAGATAAAAACAAATGAAACGTAGACAGAGTCATAGGGACCTGTCCCGTGAACTTTCACCCAGCAGATACAATGTTCTGATAGATATCTGTATTTCCCCTGAACACCCATACTCTGGTGTCATCCCCTTCCCCACATCCTTCCTTTTTGTGTTTATAAGCACTGTGTGAATAAGTAAAACTTATGATTTGATTTTAAAAAATAAATAAAAAAAGAAAAAATAATTTGGTATTATTACATACATCGAAAATAAAAGAATACATAGCACAAAATATTTTTTCATATTCTTATAAATAATTGGATGTAAATTCAGAACTCATACAACAGTAAGAATATAGAACATTCTGATTGTACCCATCTATATGGTTCTGCCTAGCCACATAATACACAAAGTATTCATATTCTTATAAATAATTGGATGTAAATTCAGAACTCAAACTACAGTAAGAATATAGAACATTCTGATTGTACCCATCTATATGGTTCTGCCTAGCCACATAATACACAAACTATTCTATCAAAAGAATATAATAATCCACAGTTCATATGAAATATATATAAAACAAAGCATGAAGAAAATTAATTGATATTAAAATATTTATTGAGTAATCATTTTCCTAAAAAAAATCTACAGATGGCCAAAGATGAAATTTCAAAATTGTAAGTTAAAGTTACAATGATATTGTTCCTTATAGCTATTAATAAAATGGATATTAGAAGGGAAAAGGGTGTTAGAGAACATGTAAAGTCCTTACAGAGGAGATCGTGTATAGTAACATACATAGGAGGTACTGTGGAGATTGCAAAGTATCTAGAGAACTTACTTGTATTAGTTCTCCAAGTTTAAGTTGCAGACAAAAAGATTTGATCTTTGAGAAAGATTCACACTGCTAAATTCATTGTGATGTCACAGTAGCAAAAATATGAAGACCATATAAATGTCTGCCAAAGAAAGAAATTTAAATAGAATGTCTCCTTCTCTTGACTTTCTTGCTCCCTTTCCTTCTCCATTTAATAATGTCATGGTTGCCCTAAAACCATCACTCATTCTCAACCAGACAGCTATAAATGCAGAAACATACCTCTTACATTTAGTAAAACAACAAGAAAAAGTTATTTTCTAGTAAATACTTTATTTCAAAACACATGCATATATTCACAGATTGAGAAAGAAAACAACCAGATCATATTTTGCAAGGCATTATTGATAAGAATGAAGAGCATTACAGAAAATATTTCTGCAGTCAAATTTAAGAAGAGAAATTGAGTCGGCATGTTGTGTTTTATGTATTCTTCCTCAAAGAGTATAAATTAAAGTTGGGACTTATGAAGATATTTAATGACACCTGAAGTGAAGAAAGTTGGAGTGAGCAGCTGCATATTTTCCTCAGTAGAAGCCATAAGACCAGTATCTTCTACAGCACAGTGGGTGGCAACAGCCATAACCATAACCACCATAGCCACAGCCATAGCCACAGCCATAGCCACAGCCATAGCCGTAGCCATAGCCGTAGCCTAGGCCACCACAGCCATAGCCCAGGCCTCCATTGTAGCTGCCATAGTAACACATGTTGTCAGGAGTTGAGTGTTCAGAGTAGGTTACTTGAGTCTGAGTGTCGCCATTTGCCAAAGGCCTTTTATACACATGAGTTGTTGTTTGGAAACCACAGGCATTATAGTGTCACACATCTCTTTGCTGTGCTTTAGAAAACATCTGAAGTGTTTTGAGTTACTGGAGAGACAATGCTGCATAGCTGAGATACTTCTGCTCCTACCTCAGGATCTCATGGTCAAATAGAAGATCTGGTACAATTTTCTGATTTCCAGGTCATTCTTCATGGAGTCTATAGAATACAGCACATGGTTCCCTCAGGCGATATAGATCATTATGCAGTGTTCTTCTTTTGACAAATGTTGGATTTCATTACCAAACAAAACAAGGTTAGCTTTTTTCTTTTTATGTTATTTTAAATGCATCTTAAAGTAAGGATGCATTAAGCTTCTTGAGTCTTTCTCATGAACAATAAGCTAATTGTTGGTTATGTATTTTTTTTTAATTTTCTTGTTGGGTAATTGTCATTTTATGTTGTTGTGATTGGATTTGTTCCTAAGTACTTTGTTGTATTACATCTTCATTTTAAAATGATCAGAAAATATGAAACCATTAATAGACCTAAATTATATATGCTATGTGTTTCCCTTTGAGTTCCATGTCAATGGCTTATATGTGAAACTTTGAAGGGCATTATGCTTGAGTGGGAAAATCAAGTTAAGGGTTTGTATACTTCCTATTTAATCATGGTCAAATTAGCTCTTCAGAGAAGCCATAGACACATAAATTTATGAGTTTCACTAATAGCTGTATAGATGACTATCTGCTGTGCAAGCACGAGGATTAGTTTAAAAATCCCCAGATCCCATGTAAAATATGCATATATTCATATTCCTTTACCCCAATGATATAAGAGTAGGATAGAAAAAGATTACTTACTGATAACTTACTGATTGTCAGTTCAGCTCCATATTCTGTGAGAGAGTCAATTTCATAGGAACAAAATTGATTCATAGAAGGAGGAACATGATAAAATGTACTCATTTGGCATCTACACACATCCATCATACACTGAAATACATTTGTGTTTATACCACACACAGACATGACACAAAAATGTATACCTACCTACACTTATACAGATAAATGTGTAGACTCCTTAAGAGAGTCCAGAAGTCATGTGTACTTTGTCTCAGCTTGTAGCTGATTGAATGAGTATTGGTATTAAAGAGGAAAAAACATATTTGAAAGATTTAAACTTTGAGCTGAACACAGACTCAAAGATACTAAATAACAAGGATTGATCATGGGTTTCCCAATGGAGAAGTTAGAGAGAAAACTGAAGGAGCTTAAGGGGTTTGAGGTCTCATGGGGAGAACAACAATACCAATCAAACAGAGCTCCCAGGGTCTAAACCACCAGCCTGGGAGCACACAGGGAGGGACTCATGGCTCCAGCTGTTTATGTAGGGGAGGATGGCTTTGTTGGGAATAGGTGGGAGAGGAAGTCCTTGGTCCTATGAAGACTGGATGCTCCAGTGTGGGGGAATTCGTGGACAAAGAGGTGGGAGTGGGTGGATGGGAGCACATCCTCATAGAAGTAAGAGGAGTGGGGTTGGATAGGGGATTTCTGGGTGGGAGGGGGAATGGGGAAAGGGGATAACATCTGAAATGTAAATAAAATAGTCAATAAAAAATTAATTAAAACAAAACAAACAACAAACAACAAACAAACAAAACAAGGAGTGCCCAAAGGAGGGTGCTTGAATCTCACTCTGAAGGGGAAATAGGCATCATAGGTTGAGGTAGGGAGAAGACTGGGTAGGAGGGGGTATGGGGAAGGGAACTTGCCAGGGGGATCAGGTATAGGGAGAGTGTGAGAGAAAGAAATCAGAGGCAGGAAGAAGGGGTGACATTTCCAGGATGTGTCAGAGACCTGTGATGTGGGAGGTTCTTTAGGAAGTCTTTTGGTGTCTCCAGCTGACACTCATAGCAGTGAGACATATAGACCCTGAACTACTCACCTCTTGTAGCCAGGTAGGACTTCCAGTAGAGGGATAAGGATGTCCACAGCCTTTGATACAAAATGTGTCCTGCTACAAGATGTTCAGGGAAAAAGATGGAACAGAGATTATTGAGGGAATGGCCAACCAATGACTGGCCCAACTTGAGACCTATCCTATGGGCAAGAACCAATCCCTGACATTCTTGATTCTTTGTTATGCTTGCAGACAGAGGCCTAAGCATAACTGTCCTCTGAGAAGATCCACTTGGTAGCCACAGCAAACATTCAGGATCTCAGGGAGTCTTGTGGAAGAGATAGGGGAAGAACTGAGGGACGCAAAGGGGCATGGGACTCTACAGGAAGACCAACACAGTCAACTAACCTGGACCCTTGGGGTCTACCAGAATGATCCACCAACCAAAGACCAAGCACGGGCTAGATCTAGATATCCCAAAACATATGTAGCAGATGTGCAGCTTGATCTTCATATGGGTCACCCAACAACAGTCCTGGAGTGAGGACTGTCCCTGACTTTGTGGCCTGCATGAGGACCTTGTTCTTCAAACTGGACCACCTTTTGTGGCCTCAGTGGGAGAAGATGTACCTAGTCTAGCATTGACTTAATGTGCCAGGGTAGGCTGATATCCATGGAAGCCTCTGCTTCTCAGAGAAGGCAAGAGGGGTATGGGAGAAGGGAGTGGGCATGTAATGTAGGGGGATCTGGAAGAGAGGTAGGAGCTGCTATTGGAATATAAAGTGAATAAATAAATTATTAATGAAAATTAAAAATAAAATTAGTGTCAAGTAAAAAAGTAAGAAAAAAGAGTTACACTTTGAATTTTTCATAAATTTACCAAAATATACAAAGGAATACAAAGTCAAAAACCAAAATATGAGCAGGGAGGTAAGAGTGGAAAGTGGGTGGGGCACATCCTCATAGAAGGAGGAGGAGAGGGGATGGGATGAGGGTTCCTGGGTGTGTGGGGGGAATGAGGAAAGGGGATAACATCTGAAATATAAATAAATTATCCAATATAAAACCCAAACTGTGCTAGGCAGTGGTGGTGCACACTTTAATCCCAGCATTTGGGAGGTGGAGGCAGGTGGACTTCTGAGTTCTAGGCCAGCCTGGTCTACAGCGTGAGTTCCAGAGCAGCCAGTGCTACACAGAGAAACCCTGCCTCGAAAAACCAAACTAAACCAAACCAAACTAAACCAAACCAAACCAAACCAAACCAAACCAAACCAAACCAAACCAAACCAAACCAAATTCAAAATGTATGCAAAATATCTCCAACTATACACCACAAAGAAAATTAATTGTTATTAAAATAATTAAAGGGTTTACATCAAAATCTATAAAGAACTCAAGAAGTTTGACTCTGAAAAAACAAATAACCCATTAAAAATGGGGTATAGAGCTAATCAGAGAATTCTCAACAGAGGCACAGAAGAGAAGCACCTAAAGAAATGTACGGCTTCCTTAGTCATCAGAGAAATGCAAATTAAATGGCACTGAGATCCCTCCTTACATCAGCAGAGTGGCTAAGATCAAAAACCCAGGAGATGGCACAAGCTGGCCAGGATGTGGAGAAAGAAGAATACCCTTCTACTACTGGTGGTATTGCAAGCTGGTTTCAACCACTCTGGAAATCAATCTAATGGTTCCTCAGAAAACCGGAAATAGTTCTATCTGAAGACTCAGCTATACTGCTCCTGGGCATGTACCCAAAAGATGCTCCACCATACCACAAGGACACATGCTCTGCTACATTCATAGGAGCATTATTTGTAATAGCCTGAAACAGGAAGCTACCCAAATGTCCTCAACTGAAGAATGGATATAGAAAATGTGGTTCATTTACACGATCGAATACTATTTAGCTATTAAAAACGAGGACATCATTAATTTTGCAGACAAATGGATGGAACTAGAAAATAGCATTCTGAACAAGGTAACCCAGACCCAAAAGGCATGCATGGTGTGTACTCACTGCTAAGTGGATATTAGTCAAAAATTATAGAATGCATATAATACAAACTCCAGACTGTAAGAAGTTTAACAAAAATTAAGGCCCAAGTGAGGATACATCAGTCTCACACAGAAGGGAGAATAAAATCATTACAGAAGACGGAGGGAAGGAAGGACTTGGGTGGAAGAGGGGATGATGAAGGGAAAAGGGGTCTGGACTGGGTATAGGGGAAGATGGGAGAGAAGCCCAGAGGGACAGAAGAATGAATGGAAATATCCTGCTGCCAGTGTTGGGGGATGGGAGAAGGATGGGTGTGCAGCACCCCTAGCAAGTCCCAGAGACCTGGGATGTGAGATATGCCCAGGTCTCAATGTAGATGACCTTAGCTGAAATGCTCAACAATGGGGAGATGGAACCTGAACAGTTTAACTCCAGTAGCTGGACAGTGTCCCCAGTGGAGGGATGGGACTACCAACCCACATTCAAAACTTTTGACCCAGAGTTGTTCCAGTCGAGAAGAAATATAGAGATGAAAATGGAGCAGAAACTAAAAGAATGGCCGACCAGTGACTGGTCCAACTTGAGATTCATCCCATGATTTGGCACCAAACCCTGACACTACTCATGTTGTGTTGTGCTTGCAGACAGGAGCCTAGCATGGCTGTCCTCTGAGAGGCTCTACCAGTACTTACAGTTAACCATTGGACTGAGGTCAGAGACCCCTTTAGAAGAGTTTGGAAAGGATTGAAAGAACTGAATGGGATGCCAACCCCATAGAGAGACCAACAGTCTGAACTAACCTGGACCCCTGGGAGTGAACAGACTAAGCTACAAGTCAAAGGACGTATATGGACTGGTCCATGGCCCCTGACACATTTGTAGCAGAAGACTGACTGCCTTGTCTGGACCCAGTGGGAGAGGATGTGCCTAGTCCTGTAGCAACTTGATGCCATAGAGAAGGGGGATGCCAGTGGGAGCATCTTCTCGGAGGTGAAGGGGAGAGGGGCCTGGGGTGGGGAACATTTTGTATGTAAATAAATAAAATAATTAATGAAAAAGAATGAAATCTACAGGTTACCAAAAGTTACTTTTCAAGATTATAATTCAAAACCACAACGAGATTGCTCCAGATAGATACTAAAATAATAATAAAATGGTCATTAGAAGGAATTAGTGTTAGAGAACACGTGAAATAACGGGAAGCCTGCACACAGTGATAATGTGTATGGTGACTCTCTTTATAGAAGGTACTGTGATATCAGAAGGTACACAGAGAACCACTTGTGTTAGTTCTCCAATTTAGAGTTGTAGACAAAAGGATGTGACCTCAGGTAAATATCTACACTCCCAAATTCATAGTGACATCACGATGGTAGAAATACAAAGACAATAAAAATCTCTACCAATAAGGGAATGTTGACAGAGAATGTGTGCTTCTCTTTTGCTCTCAATCCATTTCATACTATCACATCTGTCCTCAAACCACCACACATTTACAGCCAGCTATAAATTAACAAACATGCATCTCAAATTTAGAAAAACAATAAGAAAAATGTATATTCAAAAAATACTTTATTTAAAGCATATGCATATTTTCACAGAATGGGAACAAATGCAAGCAGATCACATTTTACAACTCATTATGATGACAATAAAGAGCTTTGCTGCAAATATCATGCAGCCAAATTAAAGAAGAGGAATTGGGTGGGCCTGTTGCATTTCATATATTATTCCTTTGAGAGTTTATATTAAGTCTGGAATTTCTGAAGAGATTTAAGAATATGTGAAGGGAAGAAAGTTGTAGTGAACAGCTGCTGAATCTTCTCAGTAGAAGCCACAGGACCAGTACCTTCTACAGCACAGTGGGCGGCAACAGCCATAACCATAGCTTCCATAGCCACCATAGCCACAGCCATAGCCACAGCCATAGCCACAGCCATAGCCACAGCCATAGCCACAGCCATAGCCACAGCCATAGCCACAGCCATAGCCACAGCCATATCCACAACCTAAGCCACCGTAGCCATAGCCCAAGCCTCCATAATATCCACCATAGCAGCACATGTTGTCAGGAGTATCAGGAGTTGTCAGAGAAAGACAAGCAGTAGGTTACTTGAGTCTGGGTGTCACCATCTGCCAAGGGACTTTTATACACCTGGGGTGTTATTTGGAAACCACAGGCATTATAGTGTCACATGTCTCTGCACTGTGCTGCAGAAAACATCATGAATGTTTTGATTTACTGGACAGACAATGCTGCATAGCTGAGATATTTGTGCTCCTACCTCAGGATCTCATGGTCAAATAATGGATGATACAATTTTCAGGTCTCCAGGTTATTCTTCATGTAGTTTATAGAGTACAGTACACAATTCCCTCAGGTGATACAGATCATTTCATAGTTTTCTTCCTTTTACATATGTTGATTTTCATTACCTCACAATAGAAGGTCTTTTTTTCCTTCTTTCTGAAATTTTATATTATTTCTTTTTATTTATTCACTTTATATCTCAATCCCTGCCCTTCCTCCTGCTCACCTTCTTGTAGTAGTACCCAATAAAATACTTAATTGATCCTGATGTCAGCGGTAAGAGGATACAAGAGCATTAACCTAATTATCATTCTAGCTTCATGTTCCATGAGACAGCCAATTAATGGGAATAACATTGGTAGGTAGAGCAAAGAACACAGCACAATGCGCTCATTTTGCATCTCCACACATCTAGCATCTACTGAAACACATTTGTTCTTACACTACACACAGATATGACACAAAATTGCACAATACATGAATACATACATACATCTTGACAGACAGACCTTCACATACACATCCCTACTTACAGAAATTCTATGGAAAAATGTCCAGAATATGCTTCAGAATATGCATACATAGCACTCTCAAATGATCAGATGAGACGCCTAGTATAGTCCTATAAAAACATAAACCAACAAGGAAACAAGCACAGTTGTATAGATTCATTAAGGGAGTCCAAAGAAGCCATGTGCACTGTGTTTCATTTAGTAGCTGATGGAGGAAGTATTAGTATGAACAGTGAGAAAACATCATTGAAAGAAGGAAACTTTGAAAATTTCATAAATTTACATACATATAGTATGAAATAAAATACATGTAGTTTAGTTTTTAGTCAGGGAGTTTGACACAAGGAATAATCTTTGTAAATTAGGTGACAAAATTGTAAGCATATCTATTGGACAATTTTATGAAGTGATTTTCTTCTAATTTTACAGTGTGCATGCTAAGAGTTTTTCGTACCACAAATATTGTCAGTGCCATCATTGTGATCATTATATAACAAAACAGTTGTATGCATAGAGATATGAGGAAACTGCCTGTATCTGAAACTATATGAAAAATTATTAAGTAAAGTAAACATAAATATCAATCCACAACACTTGTATAACATTGTGTAGGGTGATGTAAAGGGAACACATATGTGAAGATTCCACGCTCATATCCATAACATCTGTGATATTTGAGTTTTAGGTCTCATGTACTCATTCATTCAGCTGCAATGTTTACAATGTCACTTTCCCTGACAGTTGTGTTATGTTCAATTGTGTAAGTTTCACACGTGTTTTAATGTACATTTCCTTGTAGTGGACATCAGGGCTGTCTCTGTTTCCTTGGTATACTGAGCATAGCAGCAACAATCACAGATAAGCAGTTGTATTAGGATAGAGAGAACTTTTTGTATATGGGTAAGCCTGTATAGTGGGATCATGTAGTAGATCTATTTCTAGATTTTGCAGTTATTTTTTGTTTGTTTGTTTGCTTGCTTTCTTTTAATTTTTCAGGAGCCTTCACACCAATTTCCACAGTGGTAGCATTGGTTTACCCTCCTACCAACTGCACATAAATGTTACCCCTTCTTCACATCTACCCCAGCATTTTCAACCAGTTTCATTTTTCATTTTAGCCATTCTGACTGAGGGAAGAAGAAATTACAGAGTAGCTTTGATTTGTATTACTCTGATGACTAACCATATTGAATATTTTAAAATATTTTCCTATTATTTGTATTTTCATCATTTGAGAGAAGCCTGCTTCATTCTATCCTTTATTCATGAACTGGCTAGTTTGTTTTCTTGATGTTAGTTTTATGGTTTCTTTGGGTATAATAGATACCAAACTCTTTGATTTATAGAAGCTAAACTTCAATCCTGTAATTTGTGGCCCCTCTTTCCTTGAATGATGGTGTGTTTTATTATACAGAGATTTTTAGTTTCATAAGATCACATGTTATGTTACTGTTTTAAGTCCTGAGTTATTTTCCTAAAGTACTTTCCTGTGGTGGGTAGTTCATATAAAACAATGCATATATTTTTAGTCAGTACCATTCTGTTTACTACTATAACTTTGTAGATTTCCAGAACCTGACAGAAAGACCCTGATGCTGTAGGGGCCATGTGTATATGCCTGTTAGGGTGGTGTTCTCCCAAGAGTTGAGATGGAATACAGTAGTATCAAGGGATAAAAATTATAATTGAATGAGTAAAGTTAAGTAAATTTGTGATTGGGAATGCAGGAAAGGACAGATAATTAATGCTAAGGACATTACAAGAAAGTTGTATAGAAATCTACTTTTCATTGTAGAAGCCTTCATTCTGTATACATCCTTATTCTGTATACATGCATATGGCTCTTTCATAATATCTTGATCTATAAAATGTTATATTACAAACATCACGGTACTGACATTAAAATGGATGCATTGATCAATGGAATCTGATATATGTTTTTGTTTGTGTTAACAAAGTCCCAGTGCCAATAATAGATTTTCTCTTTTGGAAATCTTGACCAGTGTGGTCCCACAGATCTCTAAGTACTACAGGCTATTGTCAATGGTATTGGTTACTTCTAGAACCTGACAGCAAGACCCTGTTGCTGTAGAAACATTGGAGTCACTGTTCCTGGAGACCTCACTGACCTGGAAGCTCAATCCATTTCTATTAACTAGTTTTCTTAGTGTTGCAAATTGTTAGGCACATTGCTGTAAGATAAAAACTTTATTAATTTTAATTATCTGCAGACTCTGTGTTCTACAAAAGTGGGTATTCTGTCAATACATGTGCCCAGCTACACTAGGGACATGAATAACTTGGGTGTCATCAATTCCATTCTGATTGAATTTGAGTTCCATTTCAAAAGATGCAACCCATAAGTACTATCATTACTGGATCAAGAACCAGTGGGGAGATAGGTCATAGGCCCTATGTGTAGAATCTACTTCCAGTGTTCTTTAAATGGTTGTGATACTAAATGTTATTGTTATGCACATATATTGGTGTACCTCTCAATTTTGATCAGAGTTATGTGTATTTGCAATATAGGATGCTTATCAAGAGATCTAAATCTGGTTAAATGTGCAGAATTGACAATGGAATCCTCTGCCTCTAATAGTGTACACACACACATACACACACACACACACATGCTCACACACACATACACACAGGAAAGGAAATGGGTTATGTTTTTTCAGATACAACAGGGTAGTTTAATGTATGAATTCACAAAAGTTAGAACAGCAAGGTGAAGCAAGACAAAAATCCCAACATGAAGTGGGAAGTTGGTCATACATTTCTACTTTTAACTAAAGAGCTGTTTGTCTTTGATAGATGCTGGTATATATAGAGCTACTTTCTTTAGTGGTGTGATCCTGGGTAGGTCCACCACACTCCAAGTGCTAACTATCCATCCTAGAGGATTTAGCTGGTATAAATTGGACTTGACAAGTTTGAGGAAAAAACCCAGTAAAACAAAAAGCATACACATATTTGGCCAGGAATAAAGGTGGTTGGTGTGAGAAGAGAAAGGCAAAAACCATCTAAATTGATTAAATTATCAAAATACAGTGTACAAAGTACACGAAGTACTTAAAAAAACAAAAATGAATACATAATGCAAAAGATTCTTTGCTAATTCTCATAAATGATTGAATGCAAGTTCAAAATCACAAGCAATAAAACAAAACACAGTAGAGACTGCTTGTGCCCATCTAAAATGTTCTGCATAGCAGGACAGTCTACATACTATTCTATACAAATAGTAGAAATTCAGTAACCAAAACATATGTGGAATATGTAAAAATAAAAAGGATAAAGAAAATAAATTGATGTTATAAATGTGAGAGAATTGTTATAAACATTTTAAAGGAAAATCTGTAGATCACCAAGACTGAATTTTCAAATCCTAACTGAAAGTCTCAATGAGGTTGTTCTCTACAGTTGTCATTAAAATGGATATTAGAAAGAAGATGAGTGTTAGGAGACATGTAAAGTTAAGAGAACCCAGTTCATAGAGACAAGTGTACAGTGACACCCACTATAGAAGGTCCTTGGACATTCTTCCCCAGATATTTAGAGAATTAACTTATAATAGCTCTTAGCATTTTCCTAGCAGGTGAAAGGATTTGATCTCAGAGAAATGTCTGCACTCCCAAATTTATTGTGACATAAGAATAGTAGCAATATGAAGACAATAAAAATGTCTACCTTTGGAGGAATATTTGAAGAGATATATTTGGTTTCTCTCTGTCTCTGTCTTTGTCTCCCTCTCTCTCACTCCTCTCTCTCTTCTTAAATCTCTCCCCCTCTCTCTCCTTAAATCCTCTTCCATATTTTACACACAATCACGCATATGCACCAAACAGGTATAAATACATAAATATCCATCCCACATTTAGGAAAACTATAGGAAAAATGTTTTAAGAAAAAAGTTTATTTAAAAGCATATATTTATAGAAAGATTGAGAATGAAAATGGATCTCATTTTTTTATGGCATCATGATAGCAAAAAATAGCTTCTCTGCAGATAGTCATGCAGTATAACTGAAGATAGGGAGCCAGGTGGGTATGTGGTACTTTTTCTTCAAATAGTTTCATGTAAGGTTGGAATTTATGAAAATATTTAAGAACTTCTGATGTGAAGAAAGTTGGTGTGAGCAGCTGAAGAAATTCCTCAGTAGAAACCATAAGACCAGTATCTTCTACAGCAGAGTGGGCGGCAGCAGCCATAACCATAGCCACCATAGCCACAGCCATAGCCACAGCCTAGGCCACCATAGCCACAACCATAGCCCCAGCCTAGGCCACCATAGCCACAACCATAGCCCAGGCCTCCATAGTAACTGCCACAGTAACACATGATGTCAGGAGTTCAGTTATAGACTACCAGTAGGTTCTGTGAGCCTGGATGTCACCATCTGTCAAGGGCCTTTTATACACCTGGGTTGTTGTTGGAAACCACAGGTATTGAAGTGTGACACATATCAGCACTATGCTTCAGAGTACATGATGAGTTTCATGGTTTACTGGAAAGACTAGGCTACATAACTGAGATTATTATGCTCCAATCAGACTCCCAAAGTCAAATTATAGAGCTTCAATGTGAAATTCTCATTCTATTTTCAAACCCACCTCATTCTATATTTAACTTGTTAAGTATTTATAAATACACTCTGTGGTACAATACAAATTAGAAAAATATTTTTCTGCTTTTAGTATTTGAGTTTCAATATTCTGTAGGAGTGAGGTCTTTGTATATTGTTTCACTAATTTAGGATAAGTCATACAGAAAGTTCATATTTTTTAATGTTGTTTATGTTGTCAATTCAGTGGCTGTATATATCTTATATAAGGATAGTTTAGATTTGAACTCATTGATTTCATTAATTATTTATTTTACATATGTATTATTTTTTAATTTCCAGAAGATAAATGACCATTTTATGATCACAAAGTACATACATCATTCCACGCTTTTATTTGTTGTCTCACATGTAAGTGGTAAGGTTGTATTTGTGAAAGAAACTACGGTTTAATTGTCTGCTCTATCCTATTATTCTTTAATTCCAGTAAAGGCTACTTTTTTTCTTCTAGAAACATTGGTACATGACTATTTTTGAAGTTTCTGGAAATTTTCTGTACCCATACCCAAGTTCCAGGGCACTTGGTAGTATCTACACAGCCCTGGGTTCTATTTCCACTTTCTCCCAAACCCTCTATGTAAGTGTACATACTCTAAAGTGGGTCCAAGTGTGTGGAAATTTTTCTGTACTTCAATTAGAAATCTGATCCATGCAGTATTAATGTAAACAAGTAACAGAAGATGGGAAAATATAATTTAATTTAATTCAAAATTTTAATAAAGATATTTGAAACACTTTATAAGTGAATTAGATCTAGTGGAGAGAAAAACTCAACGACCTAAATGTGGTATCTCACACCTCTAATCTTAGCCTTTGGAAGGCTGAGACTGGAGCTGCTGCCACGAAATTTGAGGCTATCCTAGACTACATAGTGATTCTTGGCCAACCAAGCTATAAATCCTGACTCATAAAGTATAGACAATTAAGTTTTACACACACACACACACACACACACACACACACACACACACACACACAGAGAGAGAGAGAGAGAGAGAGAGAGAGAGAGAGAGAGAGAGAGAGAGGAGGTGCAATCTACATCAAGACAGTAATCAGAGGACTTCTTAAGCACCAGCACCTGCTCTTACTTTACAGTGGCTGAGTACCAAGTCTCTCCAGATGCCATAATTTCTATGTATCATCTTTGAATAGGAAATCAGTTGAAGATGTGTGGTTACTATGAAGCACTTTTCCCCTCTTATTTCCTCTTACTCTTATATCTACTCTTTAAACACCAAGCTAGGGTAATAAGAATGGTGAAATGAGTGTTTAATTATCTCTCTATCTATTCTATCTATCTATCTATCTATCTATCTATCTATCTATCTATCTATCATTTTTCTTTGTATCATTCATATATCTTCTATCATATACATCTATTTATCTATTCTATATCTATCTAAATCTATCAATCTATCATCTATCTTCAATCATCTATCTATATATCTATTAATCTATCAATCTATCATCTATTTATCCATCTATCTGTCTGTCTGTCACTGTCTGTCTGTCTATGTATACCTATAGAGCTAATTTTATCAGCTATACATCATTTAAAGCCTTAATATATGCAGCCATCATAGACATTTTGATAGTGGAAGTCCAGAGCCACAAAAGGCATTTTGGTAAGGTAGTAATATAATATCTGATCCTTATCAGATATTAACTTTAGTCTTTTCCTTTAAATTTTTGTTTCACCTGGATACCCAGGTGGAATGGTCTCCAGATGGCCCCTCCTTCAGTTTCTGTCCTTCACTTTGTCTCCATGTTTGCTCCCTTGAGTATTTTGTTACTCCTTCTAAGAAGGACTGATGCATCCCCACTTGATCTTCCTTCTTCATGAGCTTCATGTGGCCTGTGAGTTGATTCTTGGGTGTTTCAAGGTTCTGGGCTAATATCCAATAATCAGTGAGTGAATACCATGGAAATATTCTGTGGGTAATCTTTTGTATGTATTTTAGTGAAATAATATCGGTTTTCCATATTTGACCCAGGATAATTTATTCATTAATCTACTTCTAACTGAAGTAAGGTGTCTAAATAGAGTGATGGATATAAATAAAACAGCATTGTTTTTCTTAGAATGACAGGACTGTTGAATGAAGGACAGGCTATGATCTGTGGTCATTAATTGGGTTCACCTCATTACCTGGCACACAAACTGATACCATACATAAGAGCAAAATATGTATTCTATACATCTGTGCATTAAATTCTATAATGTCTACTTTTAACTGCTGTTCCTTGCATGGCTTATAGGTTTCCTTATCTGATGAGATGAGAATGAAGACATGAGAGGTGCATAGACACATATGTGGAAAAGGTGTGATCAGGTGTGAACATCTCAGCAGCTCTTCTCTGATTGAGATGCAAGAACAGCTATGGAAACAGCATCTAAAAGGAGGAGGTAGATGAATTCATCTTGGTTGGGGGCAGTCTCCAGCTTCAGGCATCAGAGACACAGTTGGTAATTTCAGCACACATTATCAACATCTGCTCTTGTACCAGGGAAAGGTTACTACTATTCTTCTGAGTCTGACCCAGTGAAGCTTTACTGTTCTCGTGGGTCTTAGGCATTGGGATCCTTGAGAGCTGTATACTCATGTTTATAATACACATTGACTCAGCATGTATGACACATTCAATATGAACATAGCATTACAATGGTTTTTGTTTGTTTGTTTATTTGTTTGTCTTTACTGTTCATCAAGACAAGTAAGCTATTTATCCCATGTATGGACATTTGAGAAGTGTAAGAGGAGATAGAAGAAAGAGTTCTATAGGCTGAGAAGTTCTATATGCTTCTCAATAGAATGCTTAAGACTAATATCTCCCACAGCAACTTGTAGGACAGCAGATATATCTATACTCTTCTAGCCACAGCCCAGGCCTCTATAGTAGCAGTTATAACTCAGTTTTGAGAGAGGAAGGATTCAGTTGAGAAGATTGCCAGCATCCTTCTTGTGAATGTCACTGGCTGCTTTTGTCTATCAACACTTTACATGGCTGGAGGTTGGTGTTACCCTCATTCTTTGGATTATCTCACATTTAAAGAATGTACAGTTTATTAGGGACACAGATGCTCTCATAGTCAAACATCCTTTTGGCATGATGTCAGGCTCCTGATAATACAAGCAGGTATCTTTAACAGATAAACTTGTGAAATATGGATAGCCAATTATGAAGTACCATGTTTTTGCTAGATTTAGGTTAATGTCTATGACAAGTTACACTGGAGGCACATTCTTCTTATACTATTTACTCTATTTAGCTATACACATCCACATCACAGCAGGATGTGGATGTAGGATTTATTAGTGTCTCTCTGTGGAGTTCATGATTAAAGACATTTCCATACTTCAAAGCTAACAATATTTTTATTCATCATGTGTAAATAAGTATGTCTGCTAGATAAGTGCCAGCCATGAATATCTTATGTACAATGTCTGTAAGTCCCCTTGTTGTTCCTCTACCATATCTTACTTCACCTTGAAATTTGTTAGATAGTCTCTTTCCAGTTGGTAAATAAATGATGGTACTAATGAAATATGGAAAATTTCCAAAAATGTACTTGTTAATACCCTTCAAAAAGTGTAAGTTTCCTCCCTTTGGTAAATGAATATCATTGTAAATCTGAAGACCATATTGTTTGTGCTCTGTTCAAAACTGAAATATTGGTCATGATTCAATTCCAGTCCAAATTCAGGTATGTGATCTTCCATCTCTCTCTGCATGGGTCTAGTGTCTTTACTAGCCTTTCAAGATGATCTTGGACAGTTGCATGTGAAAGGCAGAGAACAAGGGTCAAAATATAGCCTAGTGCTGGAGTTGACAGACTCATTTATAGAAGCTGATGTTGTTCAGTAGAGAAGTAACTCTCCTTTTATATAAAGTCTGGTGTTTTCTAAGTAATATTATTTTCCATGTTCTTCTTTAGTGGATATTATTCTTTTTCAGAATTAGCATAAAGGTATATATTTTATGTTCAGGTTATTTATAACCTGAATATGAATTAAAATGAAGGAAGTGATATCTCAAAGTATAGGTGTATATTTACTGAAAATACATATTTTTTTCAAAATGGAGTAATAGAAATGCCCCCTCCATCAAAAGGCTTAAAGGGAGCTTGTTATCTTAATGATTTGTATCACCTGATGAAATCAGGTCATATAAATTAACCAAAATAGATACAGAATCAACAAGAGTGTTGAAAATAGAACAAGAGTTTTATGTCTTTAAAATAAATTTAAATTACTTATCTTTTAAGAATTTCACAAGCAGATATTGTATTTATATCACTACAACCTCTTCTCCCCGCCATGAAACCCCAGCCATGCCCACCTCCATCTTAAAGCCCCACAATTTGACTGTGGAATCTTGACATAAGAATAGAATCATGTCAATTATGAAGCCTTCGTGTCTGTTTTCTGATGTTTTCTGAAGCAGAGTGTAGATGTGTCACATTGGAATGCTTGTGGTTTCCTCCCCAAACAACCCAGGTGTATAAAAGGCCCTTGGCAGATTGTGATGTCCAGACTCAAGAACCTACTACCAGTCCATAACTGGCACTCACTCCTGACAACATGTGTTACTATGGTGGATACTGTGGATGCCTTGGCTATGGCTATGGAGGCCTAGGCTCTGGCTATGGCTGTGGCTATGGCTGTGGCTATGGCTGTGGCTATGGTGGCTATGGTTATGGCTGTTGCCGCCCACTGTGCTGTAGAAGGTACTGGTCCTATGGCTTCTACTGAGGAGTTTTTTTAGGTGCTCATACCACCTTGCATCATATCACAAGTTCTTTGAAATCATCTTAAATTACAACCTTATACTAAACTATCTGAAGAAAAATATATAAAACACAGCATGCTCAATTTGCAAAGAAGTTCTTCATTGTCTTCATAATGCCTTTGAAAATGAAACCCAGTTAGATTGCTTCATGCTAAAATATTTTTTAAATAAACTGTTTCATTGAAAACATTGACTTCTTTTGTTTAACAGTCTCCATCTATATGAAATGTATGTCTTTGTATTCCTGTCTGCTAGGTCATAAGAGTTTGAGTTTTTGTAAGTAAATAGAGAGAAAATGTGGGAGGAGTAAGAAAAAACGGAGGGAAGCATTTGTTTGTACATTTATGTATTGATAGACATTTTGGGTTGTTTACATATCTTTGTTTTGTAAGTAATGCCACAATGAATTTGGTAGTAGAGATATTTTTCTGAGGTCAAATCTTTATGTCTTCTAGATAACATTTCAGAAGTGTCACATGTTAGCTCTATGAATATTTGAGTAAGAGGCTACAATGTTGTTTTCTTTAATTGATGTCAGCATTCACATTCTCAGAGAGGAGAACATTCACTTTCTTTCACAGGTTCTGTTACTCATTTTCTTCCTTTGTTTCTTTTTAAAAATTTATTATTTATGTATTCACATACCAAACACTGCCTTCCCACAGAGTCCCTTACCCCTCCCTGCTCTACTCCTCTGAGAGGATGGGGCCCTGCCTGGGTACCCTTCCATTCTGGCACATTGAGTCTTTACAGGATCAGGTGCATCCTCTCCCACTGTGGCCATACAAGGCTATCTTGTTGGGGAATGGATTCCACAGTCAGGCTACAGATTTAGGGACAGTTCCTTCTCCAGTTGTTGGGGAACCCACATGAAGACTGAGCTGCAAATCTGCTACAGACGTGCCAGGAACCTAGATCCAGCCTGTGTATGCTCTTTGGTTGGTGATTCAGCCTCTAAGAGTCCCCCAAGGGTCTAGCCCAGTTGACTCTGTTGGTCTTCCTGTGCAGTTTCTATCCTCTTAAGGGCCTTCAATCCTTCCCCAAACTCTTCTATAAGAGTCCCCAACCTCCATCCAAGTTTGACGGTGTGTCTCTAAATCTGTTTCAAACAGCTGCTGGGTAGAGGACAATGCTGCTAGATTCCTGTCAGCAATCATAACAGAGTATCATTAATAGTGTCAGGGATTGGTTCTTGCCCATGGGATGGGTCTCAAGTTGGGTATATTACTGGTTGGCCTTCAGTCTCTGCTCCATTCTTGTTTCTGCATTTCTTATAGACAGGACAATTTGAGGTTGAAAGTCTTGTGGGTGTGTTAGTGTATGTATCTATCCACTGGGAGTCCTGCCTGGCTATAAAAGGTGGCCTCTTGTGGTTCCATGTCCCAAGTGTCAGGCATCTTAGCTAAGGTCACCTGCATTGGCTCCTGGGAGGGTCTTCATCCCAGGTCTCTGGGACTTCCTAGAGATTGACAGTTCAACCCATGGAAGTTGCAGATTTCCATTCATTCTCTTGTCCCTTGGCATTCTCACCTGTCTCTCCCCATACCTGATCCTGACCCCCCCACATTCCCCTCCCAATACTCTCTTTTACCTATTTCCCTTCTTTCTTCCCTCCGCCTCCTATGACTATAGAGAAAGTAGGAAATAGCATTGAACACATTTTCTTTCTAGTAACTATTTTATTGACAGATGTTTGCTACAGTCTCATAGTGATTTTGATTTATAATTTTGAGATATTAGTGAAATGAAATCTTATTTCACCCTTTGGTCCCTGTAGATGTTCTTTTGAAAAATGTCTAGTTCAAACTCAGATTTTATTAACATCAGCTTACTTTCTACCTGCTGCTGAGTTATAGATATTATGTAGAAGTTCTGGTTTGTAATCTCCTATTTCTTGTATATGTTTGTATTCTTTTGCACTTATGGATTCTTCTGTTGTGTAAAAGATTCTTAGTTGGATACAATAAGACTTTCCAATTCTCATCTGCTTTGGAAGTCATAACTAATTGATTCTGAGACTAAATATTAATACTTTCAGAATTTCAGAAGATGTATTTGGTTTTATCATTGGTCTCTCCAATTCCCTCCCAGATCCATCCTGTTTTCTGTTCTTAACCATACAACTGTGAGGGCTCCTCCTCCTCCTCCTCCTCCTCTTCTTCCTCCTCCTCCTCCTCCTCTTCTTCTTCATTCTTCTTTCTTCTTTCTTCTTTTTCTCCTTATCCTTCCTCCTCCTCCTCCTTCTTTTATTTATTTTTATAGTTATCCATTTCCAACTTTGAAATAACTTTGAAAAACTGAAAATTAACTTTGAAAAATTATTTTTGAGATAATAATATAATTAAATTGAAGAATAATTCCTTGTTTGAGTTATGCTGCCTACATACTCTGGAATATGTGATCATCTATGAGAGCATGATTGACCTACCCAGGGAGTCATGCCTAAAGAAAACTGACTGTCCATCTTCTAAGAGTTATCAATGGCCAAAATTTCTTAGCTAGTAGGGGGTCCTTGTGCTCACCACCTTTCTCCATGCTGGGATTTTGCCTGATTTGAGCTGGCACAGATCTTGTGCTGATGTGTGAAAATGTTCTGCTATATCTGAAAAGCACTGTTGTATTTATTCACGGCCTCTTGCTTTTACAATCCTCTGTTCGATCTTCTGTAAACAAAGATGCCTGATCTTTGGGAGGATAGAGTATGATATAGAGGTTCCATTTATGGCTGAGTATTTTGCAGACTCATACTATGCACATTAATCAGTTTGTGAGAATTACCATCTATTTCAGAAAGAAGCTTCTTTAAAGAGGATTTGAAGATGCACCAGACAACGGGCTTAATGACAAGACATTGGTACTCTTTAATATTGTTGTGTTCATTTAGCAGCATAATAATTGTAGGTTTCCCCTAAGTCCAAACACGTCTTGGCCTGACAATGGTGCCAGATCTGTATTTCATCTTATTGTGCTCTGAACCCACTCAGAAACTAGAAGCTTGCCAGGCCAGCTGTTAATGTAGCTTACAGGATTTACAGCTGCATAAGACTCATGACAAATTTCTCCCCTATGAATTCATAGAAGCTTCCAGAACCGAGGAGGCTAACTAGCAGGGATAAATCATTCATATTGATTTTCCTTTTTTCTGTGGCTCATGAATTTGGTGTCTTCAGCAATAAAGTCTTATCAAGTCTTAAAAACTAAAGAAGAGGATTGACAAAAGAGTGTATAATTTGAGATCTATGGGGTCTCTATAGCCAACAGTTTTAGGAAGAGCAACCCATTCTTGCCAATTAGTTATTTCTTAGCCTGTAGGATCTTACCTTTAGATTCTCCTCCTTCCTGCCCCTACCTCATTCCTGTTCTATCTTTTTGGCCTCATGCATTTATACATTTGTTCCTCTTGATTCTATCTTTACTCTCTTCAAAGCTCTGTACTGCTCCCTGCATTATATATGGCTTCCTCATAAAGCTGAAGCTTCAGTACAGTAAATGATTCCATCATTTGAGTGATGAGATATCCTATATAATGGAAAAAGAACTTCAATGGATATACAGCCAATAGAAGCTTAGTATTTGAAATACACAAAGAACTCAAGAAACTAAACATCAAGAAATCAAACTACTCAATTATAAAATAGGACATGGAATTAAACAAACATATTTCAAATGCTGAACTCCAAATGCATGAAAAATATTTTAAATATGTTCATTATTGTTAGTCATCAGTGAAATAAGAATGAAAATAACTTTGGAATTTCTTCTCATTTAAGTTAGAATGGCTAACATGAAAAACACAAGTGACTATAAATGCTGGTTTGGATTTGGAGAAAGAAAATATGTATTTGTGACAGGTGGGAGGGCAAGTTAGCTCATTCAGTATAGAAATCAGCATGGGGATTCCTCAAAAATATAGAAAAAGATCTACTTTGTTCAACTTAACTAGGATATATATATATATATATATATATATATATATATATATATATATCACAGAAATATCTGCTTATTCATATTTATTGCTGCTCTATTTGCAGTATCCAGCCCATGGGGGCACCCTAGACAACCATCTACATATGAATGGATAACAAAATGTGTTATATTTATTCCCTGTGGTATTATTTAGCTGTTAAGAAAAATGAAATTTATTCAACTTTCAGGTAAATGGATAGAGTTGAATATATGTATTCTGAGTGAAGTAACCCAGACTCACAAAGTCAAATGTCAAGGTTTTTTATCCTTTCTAAATATTACCTTTGAATCTTCATATATGTGAGTTTATTTGGAATACATCAGGCAGTTTTACACAAGTTTTGTGTATTGAAATGTACCTTAAGTGCTTTCATTTAAAATTTTATTTTTTTTATATTATTTGTTTTCAGATATGGACTCTTTAATACATATAGTCTCTAAACACGCAAGAATGATTTTGTTGAATAATGATTATAATTTTATCCCTGGTAATATTTGTGGGAACAAAAATTTTTAGGTTAGCAGGTGTAAAATCAGAGGGAAATTGTCTTCTCATGAAAAATCTAATAGGCATATTTATCATGATGTGATCTCATTTGCATATATTTTTTGCATAACAGAGACTGTTACACTTCCTGAACTAAATGTGTTTGCTAAACATATTTTATTATATATAATAAATTTAAGAAATGTATAAAAAGCTCAAGTCAAAAAGAACTTTACCTTCCAATGAAGGCTTTTTTACTCCCAGTGAGTGGTTCTCTCACTGACCAGCAACCAGTGAATCCTAGGCACCCTATTTTCTCACCAATGTGAGGATATGAAGCTTTTTAAGTAGGTTCAAGGGATTTGTCCTAAAGCTTTTACACTTTCACAGCAGGTATTCTTTTCTGATAAGACATCTCTCTAGATGTCTGGTAAACTGATAAGGTGGTGCCTTACTACTCCGGCTAAGGCATGCGTGAGGGCACGTGTGTGTGCCTTTGGTTACAAAACAATAAAATGCTAATCAAAGTTGACTTTGAGTTACCTACACAGTTGTAGTGCATTTCACAGTAACATCTACAATACCATCACCTGGGCTCACATAGAGAAACATACAGTTTCATATATTCTCACATATATTCTCACATGGAGAATATATTCTCCCATGGAGAACATATATTCTCACATGGAGAACATACAGTTTCTGCACATAAAATGGTATTTTATTTCCTGATGATTAAAAATAAAACAAAAAAACAAGGAGGCAAACAATACCCCCAGGAATGTATCCAAATATAATAACTCTAGCTACCAAATTATAAATAATATAATCAATAATTAGCTTACTGTTCATGGAAAAAATGGCAGGAGGAGTCCTCCATGTAAGACTGATTCCAAATAACACCAAATAACAGGAAAGAAAATAAAGACCTTCCTTGGGGTAATAAAACAAAAAAGTGTAGAAAGGATAAAATAGAAAACAATTCAATGATTTGTATTATCTGACAAAATTATGTCATGCATTCTCTCACATAAAATAAAGAATGGTTCAAAGTTTTGACAACTGAATCAGGATGCACAACTTGACCATGGAACCTGATGTAGGAACATAATTATACAGTTATGCAAACTTGCGTACCAATAAAACATAACACTTGTGATGTTTCTGAAGGGCAGTGGAGACATGTGTGATGCTGCAATTCCTGTGGTTTTTGCCAGCAACTGCCCAGGTGTATAAAAGGCTGTTGATGATTGGTGTCATTCAGACTCAAGAAACTTACTGCTGTCTTCAACTGAACACCAATAATCCATTTCTACTTACTGACACCATGTGTTACTATAGTGGATACTATGGAGGCCTGGGCTTTGGCTATGGTGGCCTAGGCTATGGCTATGGCTGTGGCTATGGTGGCTGTGGCTGTGGCTATGGTGGCTATGGCTATGGTTGCTGCCGCCCACTGTGTTGTAGAAGATACTGGTCATATGGTTTCTACTGATGGATTTCTACAGTTTCCCAGCCTGTTGGCTGTAACCTGCTGTCTTACTGGAAGTACTTACAAAATTTCCCACATCAGAAATCCCTGAGTTCAACACTCCCATCTGTCGTCTCACCTTCAGCTGGACTGGAAGATAGCTTGCAAAGAAGTTCTTCATTGTCTACATAATGCCTTGTAAAATGTGAGCCCGTTTGACTCTTAACTTTTGTGTAAAAACAAATGCTTTTCAATAAACTATTTCATTGAGAATATTTGTTTATACTTGTATTTAAAATTCTCCATCATTCTGGGATATATGTTTATGTATTTGTGTCTACTTTGTAACATATTTGAGGTTGTTTGTGGATAGATGGCAGAGGATTAGGAGAAGAGAAGGGAGGAAACAAAGTAGGAGAAGGAGGTATTTCTTTTCAACATTCATCTATTGCTACACATTTGGGTTGTTCTCATATTGTTTATTTATTATTAAACAACACAAAATTGTTTTTATTTATAATTAAGTTTGATTTTGCTGTGAAATAGAAATGAAGTTGATGAAGTGTCATCTCCTTCATTTTTAAAAATTTAATTTTATTTTTATTTTCATTACTTTTTTTTGAGAATTCCAAAAAATATAATTTGATCATATTCACCTTGGTCTCCTCCTCCCAAGTCCAAATCCCCTTCCCTACTCATCCAACATTGTATACTCTTTTAAACCAAACCAAACCAAACCAAACCAAACCAAACCACAACAAGAACAACAACCCCTAAAAACAGTTTGTGTTGTCCATGTAATTTTGGTTAGATGTCCATCCATTACGTCTTGGTCTACCCACCAAAGATTGCATTCTTAAAGAAAACTGACTCTCTTTCTTTGTCTCTCTCTGTCTCTCTCTTTCTGTCTCTCTCTCTGTCTCTCTCTCTCTGTCTCTCTCTCTCTGTCTCTCTCTCTGTCTCTCTCTCTGTCTCTCTCTGTCTCTCTCTGTCTCTGTCTCTGTCTCTCTCTCTCTCTCTACAGAAACCATGAACTATCAATAGATTCTTATCTGTGGGTGAGACTTCATGACCACTTCTATCCCCATTCTGGAACTTTGTCAGGCCTTAGCCTATGGAAGTCTTGTGAATGCTGTATCAGCTGCTGTGAATTCATACATACAACTACCCTGGCTTGTCCATTAAACACTATTTCTGAACACTCATGCACCACTTTATGACTCTTCTAATCTTTCTACTCTCTTTCTTCTTCGATGATCTCTGATACTTGGTAGGCTAGACTGTGATATACATGTCATACTTAGGAATAGGTATCTCTAGTTTCTTACTTTCTGCACTTTAACCATTTGTGGGTCTCTCTGTATCAATCAACATCTTTTGAAACAAGTTTCATGACGATGGTTGGAAGATACACTCATCTATCGGTACAATGATAAGCCATTAAGAGTCATTAAATCCACCTCTTTTCTATCATGAAAAGCATCACAATGAATTTGGTAGACTTAATTCTTTTGTCTACTAGTTAAATTTTCAGAAGTACAGTAAATAATTCTGTGATTATTTTGACAGTAGCCTACACTAGTGTTTCTTCAATGGCTGTCATCATACACATCTTTAAAAGTGTCCAGAGACTCTCTTACTTCACAATGTTACCTACCATCAAAAGAAGTTTCTCTGGAGAGAGGTAGAAATGAACTAATTTATGTATGTAATAATGACATTGGGAGTCAATTTAATATTATGATTATTTAGTAGAGTAACAGTACTGGGTTATTCCTAAGGGCCTGTGACATAACTGGCTACAGTAACAGTGCCAGGTATGGGTTTTATCTTGGGAAGCAGGACTGAGGTGCAACCAAAGTGGTTGGTTACTTCAGTGACATTTGTGGTACATCAGTGGATATGTCTTTCCAGGCCAATCATTCTTGAAGTTGACAGGTTGAGTTCACAGGTGGGTAAGAGTTATGATTCTTTTATTCCTCTTTTAGCATTATGAAGGCTATCCAGTAGGGAGGAAGCCTACAGGTGGTAACTAGTCTGATTTCTCTAAGTTCTTACTCAAGTATACAATGTGTTCAGCAGTAGAGTCTTACTGTCATGTACTAGAGGTCACCAAAAAGCATTAGCAATAACCTACAATGCTTGATGATCTATAAGGCCTCACTTCCTAACAGCTCCAGTAGAGGAAACCCACTTCTAGAATTAAGCTTTTTGTTTATTGTCCTGTGATGTCTAGTAGGGAAATAATAGGGCAATTCCATTTAAACTGCATATTTGTATGTATGTATGTATGTATGTATGTATGTATACATATATACATAGGATTCCCTAGGTAGTACATTTTTATATGAATGTTTCAAAATATCAAAATATCTTTAGCTAAAAGTTTTAGTACATTTATTCATTTATTCTGCTTGTGTTGGTATTACATGCACTACAGCACATATCTAGATATCAGCAAACAAAATATCGGAGTCAGTTTTTTCTTTCACTCTGTGGAACTGAGAGATTGAACTGAGGGCAACAGCTTTGGTTGTGGCCCTCATTTTATATTTTTCCATGAAGTCTCTGAGACCAAGCAGCTAGGACATATCTACTCACTCGAATTCTCAGTAACTCCAGTACTTTGCGTATCCTGTTTTCTGCTCAAAGAGATTCAATTCAAGGTTAAAGTTAGTATCAGCTGATTTTTTTTTCATTCTTAGAAGTGAGGCAAAGCTCAATATAAGTAAATACAGTAAAAGAGGTCTATATTGTATAGCATCAGTAAGTCAATAATTTATTTTAAATCAAGAGATTGCTGGCTTTGTTTTAATAAGTTGGGAAATAATAGTTATAAATAAAAGAACTTATAAGATATTAGGTTTTTTTTGAAGGTCTTGTTCTGTAGCCCTGGATGGCTTGAATAATGCTATGTAAACAAGGTTGGCCTCAAATTTGTGGTGGTCATCTTTCCTCATCTTCCATGTGCTGGGCTTTTAGGTGCCACCATGCCTGGAACAAATATTTTGGAGACTATGAACTGAAATAATTTCCTTCATTCCTCTGCTAAGTAAAATATTTTGCTGTCTATCACTTCTGCAGTTAAAGTATTTCAAATCTCCCTTTTCTTGTAATCTAAAATTAAAGAATGTAATAATGATAACAAAGAACAAGCTCATATACAGAATACAGCATCAGGATAGAGGAGAAAGTTGAGACTACGTTTGAACTCATTGGCACATGAGTGACTTTCTAATCAAGATCACAGTTGCACAGACATCAAGAACAATGATTAATAATCATACCTCCATGAAATTTAAAAGCTGCTGTACAGCAAAGAACATCATCATTCAAGTGAAGTGGCAGCCTACAACATGGGAAAATAACCTTTAGCAGATATATATATATATATATATATATATATATATATATATATATATATA